TAAACCCTTTGATAAAAGCTCATGATAGTTTATCATGTCATCATAAATTATGAAGTCAAACAGTGTTTATAAATAGTAAAATATTTTATTCAAACAGTAAATTATTTCATAAAACATTAACTAGTTCAACAGAAAAAACATTTTACTGTTTGAAAATGTTTCACTATAATATTCACAGGAAAGTTAAAAAAAAATAAAAAGGGAAACTGCAAAACATTTTTAAGTAAATGCTGGGAATTTTTATAAATTAAAATAGTATTTTATTGTTTTGATAGTTAATTTCACAGGGAAAAATGTTTTAGCAGGTGCTTTTTGAGGATTCATGACTTCTTTCAGTTCCATTAAATGTGTGCTTGAATTAAAACTGACCATTACAAAAAAATCAAAGGCATTCCATGAGGGTTCAAACTTTATTGTTACCTTACTTGCCTCAGTTTATTTATTTTTTTATTTAAAAGTACACATCACTTTTATATTAACAATAATTTTTACCTAAAAGTGAGGAAAAATCTGTTTACCACTTAAAAACATTGACATGATATAAAAAGGAGGCAATGAACAGCTAAACAGTTGAGGAAAATAATTTTGGGCTCATGTTTAACTGCTCCCCTGAGTTTTTACAGTTTATTAAAAGAACATCAAAGTTCATGCTTAATAATCCAGGTAAAAAAATCATCCTCTGGACGGTTAATTTTTTTGTTGAGACATTTGTCCTTCATCCAAAGGACTTCATCAGTCTGAGGAGTCACAGCAAACTCAGTCTTAAAAGTGGCTTACTCACATAGTGGACCAATCAGTTTGATGGTGATAAGACGGTTTCTGGAGTCCACCCTCTCCCCTGTCATCTCCTCTCTTGAGCATGAACTTAGATGTTTTGAACCACTTTGGTTATGGCTGCCTCAGAGGACGGACTCCAGAAACCATTTTATCACCATCAAACTGGTTGGACCACTATGGGAGTGTGCTGCTTATGGAAGCAAATTTGTTGTGGCTTCTCAGACTGATGAAGTCCTTTGGATGAAGGACGAAACATCTAAAAAAAAAAAAAAAAAAAATAGAAACCGTTCGAGGTTTAGGATTTATTAAAAGAAAATGATTAGAACAAAAACAACAATAAAAAAAATCAACTACTAAAGCTTTGTCACCTTTCAAAAGGTGCAACTGTAGTCTCTTTCATGGTTGCTTAAACAGTTTTCTTTTGTTTCCATTCCCTCCAAATAATGTACATTTCACCCAGTGTTCCAACCTTTCACATTAGTTGATGTTAATCCGTCTCAGAACCGATGAGCGAGTTGAGCTCCAGAACGCGGGGGTCCGTGTTACCTTCGCCCTCATCCTTGAAAACAAATCCCACACTGCTCTGACTGTAGCAGTCAATGACAGGCCTTGTTTTAAAGAGTGGACCATGAGAGGAGCACAAGTGGCTCAGTGTGCAGTAACCACAGCAAACCTACAGATGACACTGTAATACACACTCTGCTCACACACACACACTGGTTTCCTCTGTGTGAGTGATTAAGAGCCAAAGGTGTGGTAATAATAAATCCAGTTTTACCTTGTTGTCTCTTTCTAAGCATGTCTAAGGATTTAAACTACTTTATGGTTGGAAAGTCACAATAATGTTGTGCTTTGAAGCTTGAAGACAACAGAGTCATTTGCTCTGAGCGAGGAAAGGGTGAGGTTTGACAATAAAGAAACCTGTGACACAAATTCAAACAACAATCCCTGTTTTTTTTTTTGTTTGTTTGCTCAGTTCTGCATCACAAGTGAGCAAGCTGACTCGCTTTCTGTCAGTCCGGTCTTGACACATCGACGGTCAACATTCTTTACACTCCAAAGGCAGCCATTAGGTTTTTTCTAATTCAACATTACTGGACACACCCAGTCCCTGCCCTCTCATTTTCTTTTCCCCCAAGGAATAAAAACCTCCCCCTTCTTCACCCTTGCTTCTAGTTTTCTATGTTTTTCCTTCCTTCTGTTACCATAGAAATAAACCCATGGCAGGAAGTCAGCCTCATGCCCATGCAAAGGAGGGAATTTGTTTTGTCGGATAAACAAATCCACACCAGGAAAGGTGGAACCCTGAGGACACAAGGAGAAAACCTGATCACATGCTTAAGCTTGCTCACCTAATCGTTCTGTCCGGGTGCAGTCACACAACTTACCTCACTTCATCATTTAGGTGTAGAGTCAACAGATGTAATTCAAGTCACCTTTTGCAACCAGAATGTTGAAGGAAAATCACTACAACTGCTCACTGGACAGTCTGAGGTTTGTTTTTCATATTAAGGTGAATAAGCAGAGCATGAATACATCTCCACAACAAGCTTGTTGTTGCCATATATCTCAGATGCACTTATTTCAAGTTGCTGCTAATATTATAATAATACTGTTTTAGATGAGGAGTTTCCAAAGCTGACGTCAGGAATCCACTATTGAATCATGCGACACATTGTCTTGAGATCCATCCATCTAAAACACATAAATGTGTACATGAACCCATGTTCTGCTGCTTATCTGTGGCCTGATCACGAATCTGATCTCTTGCCTTCATGATGCTGTATTCATACCCGTCTGCTCACTACAGACTCATGTTCAGGCTGCTGTTTAATATAAAATAAATAATAAAGTGCTATGTGTTGTCATCATTGTATGTCCCCATACAAAGATGAAATTGGTTCTCTGCATTTAACCCATCCACCACCAGGTGGAGCAGTGGGCAGCTATGTAAATGCCCGGGGAGCAATTCGGGATTGGGTGTCCTGCTCAGAGACACCACGAGATGTGCAATGACTGGGGATAGAGCCCAGGGCCTTTGGGTCCCAGGTCGGCTGCCCTGCCCCTACACCATCTCGGCCCCAAACATATGCCGTATTATTTTACATTATCAGTGTTAACAGATATCTTAGACTATCCTGATGCATGCTCAATAATCCAGGTAGAAAAATCAAAAAAAGTTAAATCTGGTCCTCTGGACATTCAAAAAAACGAAAAACAAAACAAAGCAAAAAAATCTAGAAACGTTTCGTCTCTCATC